CCCCCCAGGGAAAAGGGCGGCATACAAATAAACAATCTAAATCTAAATCTAAATTCTTGAAAGGCAATGTGTAAATACATCAAATAAAGGCAATGTGGAAATCAATCACAGCAACTTTAATGGGGGTGGATTTTGACTACTAGAGTTTCTCCAGCCAGCATGCTAGTTGGGAGAATGTTGGGAGTTGAAGTCCTCACATCTTAAAGTTGCTGAGCTTAGGAAACACTGGTATAAATACACAAATTAAATAACATAAGAAGAAGTGGGTACTACCTATGCAAGAAGAGTAGGACAGAAGGAATGTCCCTGAATAATATCTTCAGAAAAAATAGAACAATAATTGGGCAGTTCTTCAAGGCATGGCTTCCTATGTTCAAGATTCTTATAAGACATACATCTCTGTGCTAGTAATGTATATAATTTATTATGGTCATAATGCTATGCACAATGAAGCGTAGTGATCACACTTTGAAACAAGATGGCGGCACCTATGGTGCTGCCAAGAGAACCAGTTCAGGGGCGTGGCAGGCCGAGTTATTACCTACTTGGCCGAACTAGTCCAAACCGGTAGGAACCCACCTGTGATCCAGAACGAATCTCATTTTGGAAAGCTGGCTTAGGGAATCGTGCTCTGTACAAAATTGCTACATCACCAAGCAAGCCAGATGTGGTCCATAAGTGAATCTATCTACTTTGCTTGGTCTAACTTTATAAGTGACAGGATGTAGTGCTTTGTATTCCAGTCAAGAGCAGCATTACACTGTCCTAGGAAATGGAATGCAGGTGGCAAGAAAACAAACAGAAAACCAATGCATCCAAACCATAATTAGGTGATAAGTCTTTTTCGCCCTGTTTCTCATTTCTCTTGAATAAACTCTTCCTTTACTATTCCAGTTCTCAGGTGATGGTATTGAGGGTAGACAACAGAGAAAAATATTTCCCCAAGCCCGATTTCTTGCTGTTTTTCTGCTCATCTATCACTTTTAAAAAATAAAAAATAAATCTATCCTCCATCCATCAGTTTCTTTGTCTTGTGTTGTATTTTTGTTTCTTAAGATTTCGTCCATCCCAATATAATGGTTTAGAAGAAAATTTTTGCCGGAATCCAGATAATGATTGGCATGGTCCCTGGTGCTACACAATTGATCCTACTACCCGACATCAAAGCTGCGGCATCAAGAAATGTGAAAATGGTAATTGATTTAAGATGTCTGCAGGACACACATAACTGCATATAACCAACCCATACAATTAATTAATCAGGGACACATTCATTTTTAAAGATTTTTTAAGCATATCTTAGTTATTTTTATAAATAACTCAAGGTGGCAGATATATAATATTCCTTCCTCCTCCTATTTTCCCCAAAGCAACTATTTTGTGAGGTGAATTGAGCTGAATTGAGAGAGGGTGATTGATCCAAAGTTACCCAGCAATAACCCTGTTTCCCTGAAAATTAGACCTCCCTGGATAATAAGTCCAATTGGGCTTTTCAGTGCATGCTCAAAATTTGTTTCTGAAGGAAGTGGAGAATGTGTGAATTCTCATGCTCTCTGTCTAGTTCATTCATGTAAATTAATTTTCTTAGGTACCTTCCTTTCAACCTTTTGATCAAGATGTTTAGGGAGCCAAGTAGATGATTTTAGAGAAATTATCCAGAAGCCACTAAGATAACAACAAGAGCAAACTTGGAGCCCAGGGCACAGGGAAAATATGAGAAAGAGACACATACTGGCTTCTCCTGAATCCCAAAGTATGAGAGGGAAGGAAGGGGGAAATTAGTTAGACTTGCAAATTATTATAATCTTTTTAAATAATGTAGAATCAGCCTCCTGATTTGGACAACTTTGCAGGGCTGACTAGATTCTGAGTGACTCTTACTGCATACCTCTTACATTAATGCTCTGTCTTTGCCTTCCAGCTGTCTGTGTGTCATGTAATGGTGAGGATTATCGGGGATTCGTTGATCACACTGTGTCAGGCACAGAGTGCCAACGCTGGGACCTGCAGCACCCTCACAAGCATCCATACCTGCCAAACAAGTACTGATTTTAGCCATTGTGTAATCTGTAAAACAGCAGGAAAAGGGGCGTTTTCTATGAAATGTTGCCATGATGGTACTTGACAAGGAAATCCATGGGAGATGGAGCTATTAATATCAGTCAGAGGAATTGACTTATATGAGTAACGGCTTTGCAGTTGTCAGAAACCTTTTTCACACTAATGTGGAATACACGTAGTGGCGACACAGATACTTCCAGGTTTAATTTCAAGCATCTCCATGGCAGCCTGGATCCATAGCAGTGTAAGAGGAACCTTGTTAGATCAGAGGTCCAGTGGCTAGTTCAGATTTTTTTTTGATGCCACAAAAGTGAATTATATACCTTTGGAAAATGCATACTGGTTTAACCTGCAGAAGCATTTTAGTTCTTGTGTTCTATACATTGGCATCCATGTATAATAGTGTGACTTTGATAGACTTAATCCTTTATATTTTTTAAAGCTAAATTGGTGGCAATTACTTATTCTAGCACAACATTTCATAGTACATTTATGTTTACCTTGGAAATGTAATTCCCTTTATCATGCCCAAATTTCCCAATATTCAGCCTTGTTGTGTTAACTGAGGCCCCACGATTTTAAGAAAAGGCGCAAGACGAACTTCACCACAGTGTATCAGGCTTCCTCTTACTAATCTTTTTTTTAAAAAAATACTCTTTGCAAGTTTTAATAGAGAAGAGTAGAAAATAAGATACATAAATAAAAATATATATAATAATCACCCATTTCACATTTGATAAAATTTCTGCCTGAAAACCATTGTCAAGCAGTGTGCAGCAGCTGCCAACAGAGTTCTAGGCTGCATAAACAGAGGGATAGAATCAAGATCACGTGAAATGTTAATACCACTTTATAATGCCTTGG